TGCCGGGATCAGGAGTGGCCGGGACTTCTAACCCCTGGCTCAGTTCTCCTCCCACTGCTGCCTGCTTCGTGAAGGGACCAGGGACCGCTACTGCCTCTGCCCGGCTGCAGGGCCTGAAGTCCACGTGGCCACCCAGCTTCTCCCCCTTCTCACTCTTTGGGGGTGGGGCCTGCTGACTGGGCCCTGGGGGATCTGGGAGTGATGGGAGTAGGCAGAGGAGGCTGGTCGGCTGGGCCCCGCAGGCTGCTGGGCAAACGCCTGGGCGCTCGGGGAGCAGTGTGCAGGGATCAGGGGTCAGCAGGGTCACGGAGCAGCAGCTGTCCCTGAGACCTCTGAGAGGACCCTGGACCCGGGCAGCTGCAGGGCTCTCAGCTGTCAGGCGGGCTCTGACCAGGCAGGAGTCTGAAGCCTGAGGAGGAGGGTGGGTCTGGGCGGGGGAATCTGGAGCTGGCCGTGGGCCCAGATGGATCCTAGGGCAGGCCAGTCCCTAGGCCCCTGGGACCCTGGCATTTCCAGGACAGCCCCAGAGGGAGCAGAGATCAGCCTGGTCATTCAGGGAAAGAAAACCCAAAATGACAGAGGCCAAAGTGACAGAGGGGCCCAAATGCCTGAGCACAGATGATGGCCACCTTCATGACTCAGTGATGGTCATCTCTGTGACTCCAGACCCGAGGCCAGGAGTGTCAGCTTCACCTCTGGTCTCCCTTCTCTTCAGCTGGCCCCCCAGGGCCTCCCGGTTCTGTAGCTTTTTAACAAAATGAGCTGTAAGCAGGCGGCTCCCAGATCAACTTCTTCAGTCCCCCTCCTCACCAGGGTGCTACTCTGTCATCCCAACAGCCAACAGGAGGCTGTGCCCACTTGGGTGTCCCCCTTAATCCCAACGTGCCCCAACAGACGCAGGCACCTCCTCGAGCACCTCTTCTCAGACCGTCCCTCCTCCCTCACGCTCCCAGGCACCTGGGCTCCTCTTATAGTCTGTACTTGGTGGGTGGTCAAGTTGGTCAGCACGGCAGGGTGGAGAGACAAGGGCTTTGGAGTTTAAACCCCAGCCCCATCACTTACTCAGGCCAGTGACCTTGAACCTCTTGGAGCCTGCCAGCATGATTTGTTGGGAGGGTGAATTGTGAGCTCTACATTAAAGTGCACACAGTAGGTCTTCAGAAATGTTAATTCTCTTTTCTTCCTGTGTTTTCTCTGTTTGTTTCATGGCAGTCATACCATTCTTGCTGCCGTGGTTCAGGACCTCATCATTTTGGTTGTAAGTGACAGAAAATTCAACTCAAACTATTGGATTGTCGGAAGTCATGACGTATTTTTTCTATGTTTTTCGTTGCAAAATTGCATCATAACTTTTCCAACAACCCAATAGTTTAAGAAAGAAAAAAAAAGCGGGGGTGGTATTTGTGGTTTAGGTTTGGGGATGGGGGATAGCTAGCTTCACCAGAGCTGAGACAACATGGCCTGGTGCTGACCTCTCTCTCTCCATCTCTTGGCTCTGTGCTTTCTGGCTTAGTTCATTCTCAGGATGGGTTTTCCCTCATGGTGGCAAGATGGCTGCAGCAGCTCCACCCTTGCAGCTGTGTCCTTTTGACCACTCCAGCATAAGCCTCAGAGTCATTGTGCTTGGATTTTGTTAGGTCATGCCTATCCCTGGCTAATCCCTGAGGCCAGGGAGATGCAATGTGCTGTTTGGTTTAGGCAAGAGAGGAGTACAGAGGCGGGGTGGTTCCTGGGGTACTGTTTTCATAGGAATGGAGTATGGGTGCTGGGTGTCTCTGTCCTCTGATAGCTCCTAAAGTGTCTTCTCTGGTCTTCAGCCTCTCCCAGCTTCACTTTGCCCTTTGCAGCACCGTCAGTCCTTTCCTAAGATGCTGGTTGGATATTGTCCCTCCGCTACTCAGAAGCCTTCAGAGATTTCCTGGGGTGTACAGGTCAAGCCCAAACTCCTTTGCAAGGCATTCTAGACTCCTCAACCTGGCTCCAAAGCACCATTTCAGGTCCCTCACTCTTTCCTTCTCTCTCTTCCTCTGTCCTTCCCTTTTTCTCTCTCTCCTCCCTCCTGTCCCTTGCATTTCCTTCCTTTATAAATCCAAAGCCCCTCCCCTCACTACTCCTAGGTATACACCTGACAAGTGACAACGTGCTCATACAAAAACTTGTAGACCAGTGTTCATAGCATTATTGACAATAGTCAAAAGTGGGAACAACCTCCATGTCCATCCACTGATAAATGGATAAATAAGATATGGTATATCTATCTGTACATTGGAATATTACTCAGCCATAAAAATAAGTGAAGCACTGACACACGCTACAACATGGATGAACCTTGAAAACATGATAGTGAGTGAAAGAAGCCAGACATAAGAGATCACGTGTTGTATGATTCCATGTATATGATATGACCAGAATAGGCAAATGCAGAGACAGAAAGCAGATTCGTGGTTTCCAGGGCATGGGAGTTGGGGAGGAGATGGTGAGTGACTGCTAATGGGTATGGGTTTCTTTTTGGGGTGATGAAAATATTCTGGAATTAGCTAGTGGTGATATTTGCACACCATTTTGAATATACCAAAAACCTCTGAACTGTACACATTAAAATGGTGAAGTTTATGTTATTTTTATATCTCAATAATTTTTAAAATGCTAATAAAAAAAAAAATCTTACCACCCTAGTCTAGTCAGTCAAGGCCTTTCATGCCTTGTTCGAGGGCTCATGTCTGAAGAGGCCGCATGTGTCAACCCAGGACTGGCTCTCAGTGGCTCAGCCAGGAGCCCCAGGGTCAGGGGAAAGGAAATATGTGCCAAACAGAGAAGTGAAAAATCAACCCAAATGGCCACTCTCAGCACCAGAGGAAATGACAGGGCCGGGCTGAGCTGGGCTGGGTGACCCAAGGTCAGGGAAAGGAAACACCAAGCCCGAAGAAGCTGCAGAAGGCAGAGCAGGATAAAAAGCAGAGGAGCAGAGAGCAGAGCCCTGGCCCTGCCCTGGCCCTCAAGCTCCACCCCCCCCAACTCCCCTCCCCATGCCCCTGACCACCCCAATTCCCCAGCTCTGTTCTTGGCATCCACTTGGGTTCCCACGCATGGGATCTATGAGGGGCTTTTGTTTCCCTGAGCAGCTCTCCCCTGACCTTTCTAGAGACAGACCTGAATCTTAAAAGGCAACCATGCAGGGGTTAAGGGAGGGCAGCTTTGGCCTCCCAGCTAGAGTGAGGAAGAGGCAAAGGGCGGGCCTGGGGCAGAGCTGGAGCTTGAAGGTGGGGAAGTCAAACCTTGGTGAGAGCTTTGTCCTTGGGCTCTTGTCTCAAGGGCATGGGAGATTCTACAGAAGGGGGTTCTGAGGCACGTGGTGTCCACGAGCCCAGCCCCAGCCCCGGTTCCTTGCTTTCTGCACCCTACATCCATTATGTCCCCTCCCAACTTCAGCCAGAGGTCGTGTGCCTCAGCACAAGTGGGAGCAAGACCCCCCATGAGCAACACGATGCCAGGTCAGGAAACTGGTGACTCAGCTGAAGCGGGGCCTAGGAACCGTCAGCTGGCAGCCCCTGGGCACCAACTTCCTAACAAGAGCAAAGGGGGAACCGTCTGGTGGCTGAGAGGAGCCTCGGCCAGACCCGTCTGCTCTCTGGGCTTCACACCCAGCTTTCTGAGATTTGAACTCCTGCTCTGGACCTCCCAGGTCATGTCTAACAGTCACACAGCTTGTATCCAGGCAACAGCTCTCGCTCCCATTTGTGCCGAGCTCCAGCTTTCTGCTCTGGGAACCAGAGCATCACCGCCGGCCAGCCCTGCACACACCTCCCCACAGGGTGCAGCTTTCCTCCCCCGGCTGCCAGCACCCCCACCTCACCTGGGCCGCTGGGTCTTCCTGAGTCTATTGAGGGGACAGGGGGCTCTCTGAACCGTGCCAAGTGGGAAGCAAGACTTTACCATTCCTCGTGAGGCTTCTTCAGAAGCAACAAGAAAACAATTGCCAAGAGCCACACATGGGCTCGTGTGATAGGCTCGGAGCCTTATTTATTGTGGCTGAGGGCCTGTTGGCTAATCTTGCCAGGAAAGGGTTTCTCAAGGAGGGGAGGGGCAGCTTTTGAGCTGACATTGGCCTTGGTGGAAATACAAATGACATTCTTAAACTGGGGCGACTGTATCAGGGTGTGGAAGAGGAGCCGGGCTCTGCAAAGGCCACATTTGCAGGCTAAGTCCGTTGCCCTTTGGATCACAGCTGGTTGGGTGCCTCACATGTGAGGGATCCTGGGGAAGGAAAATCAGCCCCTCAAGCTGGGGCTTGTCCCCAATTCTTTTCAGAGGCACCTATAACCAATGAAACACAACAGCAGCTGCTTGTTTTCAAAGGGAGACCAGTTTTACCCAAGCCCGGGCAGATCCGTCAGATTCCATTCACCGGCAGAGGCAGGAGGCAAAGGTTGGCCACTGTTAGGTTACCTATTTATCTCTGACTCAAGGCACACGCCCCTCAGCTCAGCACCTGGGGGTTTCCTGTCTTGGCTTTGGCATGTGAGGCCGGTCAGCCTGCCAGCACAGGGCAGGAACCCACTCCACATTTAGACCGAGACAGCCTTTCCCCAGGTGTCAGGACACATGGGCAAAGGCATGTGTTGGGGTCCCCGGAAGGCCTGGCCTTGTCCAAGTGTTCTGGGCTCTAGGCAGGGAATCCAGCTCTGGCACTGCTCCCTGAGGCCGCGCCCTCCAGGGGGAGGTCAGGCTGGGCCCACAGCATGCATGTGAGGGCTGCGCTGGGAGGGCCAGGCACGCAGCCAGCTGCTCGCTCCACAGCCCAGCTCCGTGGCCCGGGCCCAGCAAACCTCCTCTGCATGGAGGCCATGGGGCCATGGGAGAGCCTTGGGAGGATTGGGGCTGAGGCTGGCCAGAAACCCAGTGTGACAGATTCTGCCTTCTCTGGACACAGGTCAAGGAGGCAGCATTTTTTGTTTGCTACCAGGAAAAAGAAAGAGCAAAAGAAAGATTAGACTCAGAAGTTACACTCAGAATTTACTTTTATTTTTCCAAAAGATGTTTGTGTCTGATTCATGTGGAAAGCCACAAAGCCTTCTGCCTTTTCTAAGCAGGCTGCATCCACAGCCCGTTCACTCTGGACTCCGCGGGTCAGAAACAAAACTGTTCTTCCAAAGAAGCTCACAGAGTCAGCGGCCAGCTGCCCGCGGTCTCCCCAGGGGGGCCCACTGCCTGCAGCCTCTCCTCCCCAGCTGGCCGCCTCCTCTCCTCTACTTTCCAACAGTCGGGATCTTGTCTGAGGGCTGCTCCTGGGCTCTTAGCGGCTGGGAGGACCCGAACGGTGGAGGACGATAAAGCACCTGAGGCCTCAGATCCTGACCACCTGGACGGCGACACAGGGACTCCGCCTCCCCTCGCTGTCCTCTGTGGTCTGTCTCCTGAGGTAGAGTCGGCCATAGGTACCTCCCACCTGCCCTTTAGTGAGGCGTCCGGGATTCACACAGACACAGCCGAGGACGTCCTGGGAAAGAAAGGAAGATGGTTTGGAAAGGCCCAAACTGCAGGACTGATGTGATGAAGCTGGAAACATCTAACAGACCCCAAAGAGGGTTTTATAAAATGGAAATGAAGGCAACGAAACACATCTTAAGTCAAATATGTTAACTTATTATTGGAAAACTGAGTTCCTTCGGAGTCTCTGAAGCAGAATAAAGAAGGTACCTTGGCAGCGTGACAATCAGCTTCCAAACTTGGAGATACACCTGACCTGGTTATTGTTTTCCAATGTGAAAAAATGTTTACCTCTTGAGGTTGAACTGGCTGTTTTGGCAAGAGGGGGGGTTGGCTGGGTGGAGTCCCTGTGAAAGACCCAATCCCCAGGTGGGTGGGGCCTCGGTGGCAGAGATGACCCTAAAAGTGTCCTCCAAGTTTTGGGGCTGAGGCCCCGGGAGGTCAGATCAGAATTCAGAGGAGAGGCAGGCAAGTGCATAAGTGAAGCATTCTCCAGGTCACCCTGGCAGGGCCCCGCCTGAGAACCATTGTTTCAGGGCCGTCCTTCTTGCCTCTGGGGGCTCCCAAGCCAGGCTGACCAAGCACCAAGCTCTGGGGGGAGAGGGGAGCAAGGGGACGCCATTTACTTAAACATTTTACTGACAGATTTGTTTTCTAGTCCTACCGCCTGCCTCAAGAAACGAGGCCACCATCCCGACATCAGCAGACCCATGAAGAGCGGGTGCCGGTGGCCTAGAAGGGCAAGTCAGAGGCTGGTTCTGGCGTGTTTGGAAAAAAGCAGAGCTGAAACCCACCTTTACAAAGTACCTCAGCTCTGACGGGATGATGAAGACATCTGGGGTGGCGGGCAGCTGGGCGTAGGCATAGAAGTGCTCATAGTCAATGGCCATGTCTTCCTGGGGAGGGTAGAGCGGGTAATAGCTATGGAGACGGAGAGAAACGATCGATCAGCAGCAGCTGCATGGGGACCTCCCTTCCCAGAGGAATCCCGTCACTGACTCCCGTGCTGTCCCAGACCATCCTTCTCTTTTCCCTGTGTTTGGGGGACAGCACACAGGCTTGTCATCACAGGTCGTGGCCTGGGGAGGGCTCTCACAGTCGTCTGGCAGGGTTCCGTGACCCCAGAGCACCCCCTGCGTGGTCTGTTATTCCAGCAAGCCAGCTCACCTCCTCTGGGTCAGGATGTGCTTGAGTATCCGGCTGAATCTGTCTGAAGTTCGGGAAGAACTGGGGAAGGTAGAAAAGCAAGAAACGGAATGCAGGGTCTCATTTCTCAGTTTCCATTTGTCTTCAGGGAGGGCTCAAGGATTTAATAAACTAGAGAGAGGCTACTTGGCCAAGGCACAGTGACAAGAGGGTCTCTCTGGGGAGGCCGAAGGACCCACCCCAAATAGCTGGGTCTGTTCCCACATGAGGAGGGAGTGAGATGCTGAGTGAAGAAGGGAACAAGCAGGAATCCCCGTGATCAAGACCAAGACAGCCAGCGCCAGGCTGAGCAAGAGCACGTGAATCTGCACCAGTGAGGTGAGCGTGAAGCCGGGGTGAGCCTGCGCTCAAACCTCAGCCAACAAGCACACAGCCATCTTCACGTGGCTGTCGAGCCTACACTCCCCAGAGCTGGCTGCGTCTGATTCTCTGCAGAGCTACACACTGCTCTGGTGGAGAGCAGCCTTCAGAGTACATTACAGGTCATCGTCCACCAACACTAAAAAGATGGTTTCATGCCAATGCCTGTGTGCCCCAAATGTTGTCTTCTGTGTAGTAGCAAAGGGACCTAGTGCCTCTCAGGCCATCACTTCTGATGTGGAAAACATAGTTTCCACTTAACAGGAGACACCCACTCTTGTTTAGGTCACAAACGTGGGAGGGGAAGAAAGCAGACGAACTTCTACGACTATAAATTAAGTGCAGGCAGACAGACGTGGTTCTTTGGGATCTCAAACACTGTAGAGTCAAGTGGGAATAGAAACCAAGGCTCCAACGGCCCCCCTCACACGGCCAAAGGGTCTGGCAGAAAGCCACCCGCCCTGCCTGCTGGGCTGGAATACACGCCTCACCTGCTGACCTCCTCAGCCCCAATGTGGAACAGCAGATCCGTGGACGTCAAGCCAAAGACCACGCCATTTATGGAGAGGCTGCAGGGATCTGACACGAAGAGCACGCGCTAAAATGAGAAGGGGTTGAGCCACACATTTGCACACCAAAGCTAGAAACTTCTTCCCCATGAAAGTGGGGGTCTTTCCAGGGATGGGAAGACCCCTCAAAGGGGGACCAAACCCACGTACAGTAAATTACAAGCACATGTGCCTGTTAAAAAGAGCACTTTAACAGTCAGGCCCCACGCACGTCCTGAAAAGGCACATTTGCCCTCCACTTCGGGGACAGAGCTGGGTCACCTGAGGCACATTGATTCTGGCTGCCTGCTGGTTGAGGAGGGGACGCCGATACCTTTCTGTCCTCGGGAGGCAGATCGGAGTAGCTGAAAGGTGGCTGTGGGTACACGGGCTCATGGTGCACATCTCTCAACGACGGAACAAAGACGAGGTGAGAGCCGGAGCTACTTTGTCCAAAAAAAATCATCAGAAAAGGGAGAGAAATGAGTGCTGTTGAACTAAAACAGCTGGACAACAGATTTAACATGTCAGAACTTGTACATGACCCCACTTCCGGGGAAGGATTTCAGAGCTGAACTCTCCTTCGAAGAGAGGGGCCACGTCCCAGGGGACACGGTGAGCGACAATTTGTTCTCATTTACACACATCCACCATGATGAGATGCAGGGCGCACTTTCCCTGGCTTTGTGTGCTATTCCACTGGGGAGATGATGGGACTACAGTTTGGTAGAAAAAGGGGAGAAGAAATTGGGATCGAGGAAATGGAGAAAGACAGGACTTGACCAAAGAATCAGACCTCAGAGCCAGAGCTGAAACTGAAGTTCTGACTCTTCACACAGTTGTGGCTTAAAAGCGTTGGTTTCTCAGACAGGAGCGCTTGCCTAGGCAGAGACCCAGCAGGCTAATCAGATCTGGAGGCTGCCTCCATATTTAGAGGATCAAACTGCAATCTGACTAACCAAACACTGGGTCACAATTTCAACAGCGAGGACAGAGACATCTTCAGAGCGATGGGGAAAAACATGGTCAGCTTCTCCCGGCGCCGGTGGTCCCTCCCCTCCGGCATTGGGAAGCAATGCCCTCAGTTCTTATTTCTGAACAGACTGTCTTGCAAAAATGGAAGAAATATTTAACAGCAACAGTGAAAGCATAGCTGACAGATGTCTCCTTTGATGGAGACAGAAGGAGAATCTCCAGGGTTGCAACATATAAGTAAAAACCTTTAACTCTGGGGCCAACTGTTTATCCTCCCCAGCCACACAAAAGAAAAAAGGAAGAAAGTCCCATTTCCTTGATTTCCTCAGCTGTGCTTGGCAGGGGGCCTATTATAAACCAAATAGGCGTCAACTATGGCTCTGGGGGCTTGTTTAAAACCCACCAATAACTCTCACTGCCAGCTCCCCGTCTTGCTTAAAATATGTGGCCTTCCCAAATGTAGCTACAGGTCCCTGCCTGTCTCTCATAGGGGATAAAGGCGTTGGTGATTGTCACACTTGTCCCTTGTTTGTCATGCCTGCTCAAAGTGTGAACTGAGACTTCACCAACAGAAAATCAGGAAATGGGGCCAAAGGAACTTTGCCCGTTACAGTCCCTTTGACATTGAAAAGTTCGCTATGATTATCCAAGTCTACCAAGGTGGGTGCTGGAGTCTGGGGGAGGGCGGGGGGGGGGTAACCTGAACAGGACAGCGTGTGCTCTAGATCCCAGGGGCTCGGTCTGTAATGGACACAAAGGTGGAGGTACGGCCGGCCTGTTAAGAGGTAGAATCAGGCTGTTTCAATGTAGGTGCTAGAAGAGCAACAGTTAAGGAGGAAACAGCCTTCCTGCTCATGGTTAGAGACTGGCTGTAGGGGGAGGGATCCCAGAGAAAATTCCAACTATGCTGAGGATTGCACAACATCATACATCACAGGGGGAGGGTCCTCAGACAGCAGAGAACTTGCTGCTCTGCTGGGCTCCTGTGAAGGAGGGGCTTCCTCACTCATCCTGGTTTTCACTGGTAAGTCAGCTTTATGCTCTGCTTTTCTGACCTCTCAGGAATAAAGAGAAATCCTCCAAATGAGGACTGTTTACATACTATTTGGGGAAAGGTGGGGCAACCGCCCCCCCCCCCCCCCCCCCCGGACACACTGGCTGCAGATGAAAGTGCCTGGTGGTGCTGGGTGCTGCCGCCAGGATAACAAAGCCTGGTTTCTTCTTTGTTTGTCCCACTGCCGTCAATACCACACGGGGCGAGGAACCAAAACAGAACCCAATCTCACACGGAAAGCATCCAGCCAGCGCCAGGACACTGCTACAGAGCCCTTGCCTGTCCCCGAGGAGACCTGAGGGCTGACAACACCGGGACAGCAGCCCTGCTTCTGTTTTTCCCAGGTTTATCTCCAGGTCTGACTAACTTGGTCCCAACAAACAAGAGGGAAGGCACTTGTGTCACTGTCACTCAAGGGAGGGAGAAAGGGGCAGATCCAGCTGCAGGCTGTCACTGGCACAGTGCAAGTCCCCTGTCGCTGGGGTAAGTTGGGGCTGTTTCTCCCCAGGCCACGCGGCAGGTACAACAAGGTAGTGTTCCGACTAATCGACTCTGGGATCAGTTCTCACGGCCAAGGGGTGGAAGGTTATACATCTCGTTTTAAAAACTACCTTTGTTACAGACTTGTTTTTAAAATCTTAGCCTCAGGAATGTTTGTTTTTTATGAGCTGAGTTACAGGCAAGCAAATCCCCAGAGATGCATCACCTGTACCAATTTCTTTTAAACCCTGGCACTGGAGGAAAAGGAACAGGAAATGAGGGTGTTGGCTTCCTGGATAACCGGCTACCTATAGTTTGAGACTCTTCCCGGAAGAGCGCTTTTGCTCTCAAATTACAACTGCACGTCTCTGTCATCACTGCTATGACTTTTCACAGTTCCTTCCCGTTGGTCCGTGGCGGGGATCCAAGAGCCCCACCCGCACTGAGTTTCTACCACAGCTTGCTCTGGCCACTGGCAACGCCCCACAAAACAGGGGAGGCAGTGACTCAGGGGAAAGCCTTGGGCTTGCCCCAAAACGATCACTCACACAATGAGATGTCTTAGGGCCTCTCGGGACTTTGCTGTGTAAGTCATCAAACACTTCTCAGAACCATCCTGGGAAGATTTCCGTGGAATATGAGTCTACACGGAAGGAGCGAGAAAGGGAAGAAAGTAAACACAGCAAGGGAAGAGCACAAGTCGAGGCAGCCCTTTCCTTTCAAGTATGTTTATCTTTGTGTTTTAAAAAGATGCCTCTTAACTCGGCGTCTGTGCACTTGAAGTTCAAGAGTTCTATCTGATCTCTAGTTCAAAAAGATGAAAGGATAGGAACTACCACTACTTTTGAACATTTCAGTTTTGTTTTGTTTTTTAATGGGAAGCCCTACAGAATCCTAGGCAGCTTAAGGTTCTGTTCAGCATTTTGAATTCTGACCTTCGTGTCCCTTCAATAATCGTTCGTAGACATTGCTTGAAAACATCTTCAAATGGACTCGTCAGGAGACAGTTCTGCCAAGAAGAGAAAGATTTAGAGGGTAGACATTTGGTGTTTATTCACTTGTTTAACGTTTGTTAGATGACCCTAGGTACCAGCTATTGAGCTAAGAGCTAAAGGAGATGCACAGAGGGACAGATCTCTGTCTTCAAGGAGCTGAGTCTAGTTCAGGACAGGAAAAGAGACGGGGAAAGAATTAATCCTCTTGAATAGAAGCTGAAACACCAAAAGGACGAGTGTTTTGAAATCTTTTCTGTGGAAGGTAAAATATCCTGACACCAAGGGTAGGGGATGTCTGGCAAAGGGCCAGTTGTGTTAATGCATCAAAGGACGTGGGTCGAGCTGAGGGAAGCAGCCAGGTAGGTACTTCCACAGGGCAGCTCCATGACCCCCGGACACCTGTCTTTGTGCCTTAGCATCAGGCATCACAAAAGGAACACTGGGACTCATATATTTGTATTTCCCTCCCCCAGCTTCCAAATGGCTTTGTATTTTGGTGAAATGAAGCCCTCAAATTCAGTATCTTACAGAAGTTGTCCAGCTACAATGTCCTTCTGATTAGATGCAGGGTCAACTCCAACAGATGAAAATAATGCGGGCGGGCTCAACTGGATGCAAATATCCACGCTCCCCACCCCACCCCCGCCCCCTCCGTCCTAACCTCAGGCACTCACCTCAACCTGATCGTGCTTAGTGTCCAGGAAAGGGCCAAACTGCAAATAAGCCCGAGGGGAGAAACAAAGGTACCAAAAAAACAAATCAGAACCATGTGTGTCTGTGAGCACCATCAGATAACCTCTCCTAGCAGTTCTTTGGGTCCATCCGCCCCGCCCAGGCTGCCTGCATGGTCTGGGACAGTTAGCACATGGGGCGGGGGCACTCAGCCAGGATCCGTGGGAGAAGGTCTCCAGGGCCCCATAACCACTTGTACTGCCTCCTACAACATGGGGCTTTTCCCTGACTTTCTAAACCTAGCCAGGGAAATCTGCCACCATGCTAACAATAGTACTTTGAGCTTTAAAAAGAGAATAGCTCAGAAGGCAGCAAGAATACCGTACAGACAATGAAGGGCGGCAGAAAGTGGTGGGCTTTTGGATTAACTGAAGGCACGCAGTTATCTGTATACCTCGCCAGAGATGGAGACTAAGATTTTTTAAAAGGAGGAGAGCCTGACGAGCTTCCTATGAATTTAGAACCGCGCTGGACCCTTTTCTGAGGCTGAGTGCCTGCGCGAAGCTGTCCCGGGGGCCTCCTACCAGGATGCAGACGTCCGGCCGGTCGCGGTTGATGACCCAGATCAGGTCGAGCAGGGGGTCATACGTGATGCTGTCAGATGTGGTATACGGGCCACAGGCCACCAGGACCATGTTTTGTTCAAAATCTAAGACAAAAGGATTGTAAGGCTTTGATTAGAAGATACTGGGATGGTGGGAGAAAGGACAATTAGGAAAAAATGCCACAGGGTTCAATTAAATGAGTCTCCTTATGTGTGCAACTCTGGGAATCTGACATGAGTAAGACCTCATCCCCAGCCTCAGAGAATCGTCCATCAGCCGGAGCAGACAGGCAGGTGTGCCAGTAACTGGGACATGCAACAGAAACGTTCCCAGCTGTGCGCCTGAGTGATGGGACAAAGTGGCAGTCAGGAGAGAACAGGTCAAAGTGGCACCATTGGCTTATGGCATTTCCCCAATTTTTCTACTGTGGCAAAACACATAACAAAAAAATTTGTCCTCTTAACCATTTTAATATTTCAATGGTATTACATAAATCCATATTGTTGTGCAATCACCACCATCCATCTCCGGAACTCTTCATCTTATAAAACTGAAACTGTTCCCAGTAAACACTAACTCTCCAGTCCCCCTCCCCCATCCCTGCCACACACCATTCTACTGTCTGTCTGTGAGTGGAACCATACACATCCAGTATTTCTCTTTTTGAGGCTGGCTTATTTCCCTTTGCTTACTCTTATAAGTAGAATTTCCCTGAGCAAGGGCAAGCAGCGTCCTGGAGAACACTGTGATTTGAGCATGCTCGGTGTGAGTATCTGGTGGCCCAGTGTGGCTGGACAATGTGGTATACAGAGGAGTCCGGAAGTCAGGCTGGGGCGCAGGGCCCGGAGCATGACCCAGCTGAGATGGGGTGCAGGGCCTTTTTGCGTTTTGGCCACCCGTCAAGTGCTGTCCTTTACCTCACAGCATCTGCTTTTTTGGAGAACCAGCCCTCTCCTGTGTAAAACAGTATCGGGATGTGTGTGTGTATGTGTATGTGTGAATTAAGGTGTCCTCCTCTAGCCAAGAGGCAGGCATGTGACCCAGTTTCAGCCATTCACACTCTCCTCCCAGGTTCTGGACCTTTGACGTGAACTATCCAAAAATAGAAAAAATATTGGAGCTGACCTATTCCAGCAGAGGTGACCAGGTGAGACAGCTGGGGAATTCCTACCTGGACGTCTAGAGTTGCTAGGTCCTTATGCTGGTTCTACGTCTGGATTTCTAGCCACCTGTCCAGTCTGTGAGCTACCTAGATTTCCCCAAACAACTTTTTGTTAAGATAGTCTCAGTCAGTTTCTGTAGCTTACAACAACCAAACCCAAAGATCCCTGACTTAACATGTAGTTGTATTTGTTCCTGTGGCTGCTGTAACAAATTACCACAAATTTAGTGGCTTAAATCAACACATATTTGCTATTTTATAGTTGTAGAGTTCAGAAGCCCTAAAATCTAGGTGTTGGCAGGGCTGTGTTCCTTCTGGGGGTCTGATAGGAGAATCTGTTTCCTGGCCTTTTCTAACTTCCAGGGGCTGCCTGCATCCCACCACCATCTTCAAAGCCAGCAGCCTAATATTTCTAATCTCCCTGAAGCTGATCCTTCTGTCCTTCCTCTTATAATATGGACCCCTCCCCCATAATCCAGGATAACCCCCCCCATCTCAAGATCCTTGATTTAATCACACCGGCAAAGTCCCTTTTGTCATATAAAGTAACATATTCACGGGTTCCAGGGATTAAGGATGGGGGGTTCATTAGTCATCTACGAGTGGTGATACAAAGAACTGAGATAGAGTCCAATGGGAAGAGTAAATTTCACTCAGGGTGGGGGACAAAGTTAAATTAGGTTTCTGATCAGGAGCCTGTAGGAGATGTAACCGGAATAACTAGCAAGCGCCAGGAGGACAGGGCCCGTGCCTTATTCTGCATCCACGAGGGGCTCGCTTAATACCCTGCTTGCAAAACGTCTGTCCACAACCTATTCAACTGCTCCCGGAGTCTCCTCTGGCATGCGGCGCAGTCTCTGGGCATCTCAGGCCCGTCAATTCCTTCTCATTCTTCACAGTTGCTGTAATACCACCATGCTGTTCTTGCTGCCACAAGCACATATTTTCTGATAGAATTCACAGTATCATAAATTCCTAAATCTCACTCTGGATTCTAGGTCGCCTCCAAGAATGACCTCATACACTACGACTGCGTATAGGGTGCTGACAACACGCTAGGGTCAGCCATCTCATTGTGAATCCTTAACAGTCTTCCGCTTTCCTTGCAAAACTGCTTAAAAATATTTCGAAACCAAGTTTGTTAAAATTTCTTTGTTTTTGCCCCATCTGGATTAGTTGCCAAATAACCCTAGGCTTTCTTAGAAACTCATCCAATTTTTTAATAAACTTTCTCTTTTGGAACAACTTTAGAAGTGCAGAAAAGTTGCAAAGATAGTACTGACTTCCTGTAGGCAGCCCTTTCACCCAGTGTCCCCTAATGGTGACATCTCTCCTAACTACGGTACAGTTGTCAAAACTAAGGAATTAACGCTGACATATTACTGTTAACTATTACAGACTTTATTTGGATGTCACTAGTTTTTCCACTCATGTCCCTTTTCTTATCCAAGATTCAATCCAGGAAATCACACTGCATTTAAAGGAATTCTTTTTTAAATGCCTGCTAGTTTTCCTTTTTCAAAGCGACCTTCAAATACCTGTTAAACATTAGATTTGAACAACATGCCCGTGTACTCGGACCCAAGTGGTAACACTGACAAAGCTCACTAGGCCCAGACCCTGGCCTTCCACTGGGGGCCTGCGAACCTACCCCCGGCTGTGGCCCTACGCGCCATCATGGTGTCCTTACAGCTTCTGTGGCTTTCTCGGGGCCTAGAGACTGCCCTCCTGGACCCCTGCCCACCACCCTCGTTGGCAAAGCAACATTTGAACCAGAACTTACCTCCATCCTCTTCGGTGGGCTGATAAAACGGGAGTGGCACACCCTTAAAAACAGGAGAAAAGCTAAACTGAGGTGTTGTCCCAGGCATCACAGTTGTAAGGAAAGGGGTGGCTCCGAATGGGGGCGTGCTTGCAGGTATCTTGCTCCTTGGAACTAAAAGCTCACACAGCTGGTTGTACCTGCCATCTTTCTATATTGCTTAGAGTGGTAAAGACATCCAGAAAATGGGAGAGCATAGCAAAACTCAGAAAACACCCAGCAAATAGTGGGAGGCAAGTGCAGTATCGTAGGCCAGGAGGGGAGGGCAGGGTACCTGCTAGCTTTCCTTGCATTCTATGAGCATCTGTGGAAGATTACTGCCTAGAGCAGAGACAGGTAAACTACGGCCTGTGGGCCAAATCTGGCCACCACCTGTTTTTTGTTTGTTATATAGTTTTTTATTTTATTTTTTCCTTTCTTTTTTGGGGAGGGGGCTACCACCTATTTTTGTAAATCAAGTTTTGCTGGCACATTGACACAGGCTTATAGGTTGTCTATGGCTACGCCGGCAAAGCTGACATTGTGACAGAGACCATAGGGACCGCAAAGCCTAAAATATTTACCATCTGGCCCTTTAAGAAACAGTTTGCCGACCCTTGGCCGAGAGGTAGGTTCCCAGTCTAGTGCTGAGAATTGAGAAGCAAATAAACAAGCTCTTAAAAGGGACTGACAGGGCTGGCCAAGTGGTGCGTTGGTTAAGAACTGGCTTGGGACGCCAGAGGGCCCCGGTTCGGATCCCACATATGAGGGCCAGTGACACTGCTCTCTACAGCTAAGATGCTGAACAACAGCTCAACCTGGAGCTGGGCTGCCGTGGGTTGCCAGCGACAGCGTAGGCTGCAGTCCCCTGCTCCAGTGGGTTGCCATAAGCTACTGTGTATAGCCGGCAGCCAGCGTGAGAGGCCAGCAGCCGCCGTGAGCAGCCGTCCAGAGGCCGGCGACTGATCTGCCTCGCCCGGGAAGAGCGCAATGATGGTGCCAACTTGGGCCAGTGAAGCAACATCCTCCACAACTAGATTGAAGAACAAAACGACAGCAACTTGTCTGTTCCCCTTCCCCCGATTCCCCAGCGCTGTTCCCATCCCCCAATTCCCCAATAAAAATCTTAAAAAAAAAAGGGACAGACAGGCAGCACATCCTGTGTGTGCAGCAAACCAGGAGGGAGGGCGGGAGACCGCTGGGGTACCTCATAGAGTTTAGTGGCAACAAGTTTTCTACCAGTAGTGTTGATTCCTTCCATGACCACAACCTGAAAGACAAGCAGCAAAACAGGGGAGATACACAAGAGGTCAGGGATGAATTATTCTGATATCGTTAAAAGTCCTGTCCAGCTACTCTCATTTTTAATTGTAAGCTTGGGGGTATTTTTCCAGGAAACAAAGTGAGGGCGTTGTATTAGTTATAGTAATTGTGCTTTACAGGGATGACCTCACGTTTACACCAACCCTCTGAGGTAAGGATTATTATTCCCATTTTACAGGTGAGGACACTCTGGTTTAGAGGTTAAGGAACATGGCCGTAATCACACACCTCATGAGGTGAGAGCTGGGATTCAAACCTGGGCAGTCAAGAGTCCAGAGCCAAGATCAGAGTATACAAGGGAAATCACAAGCCCCACACTTGTGTCTGCTCTTGGGCCTGCGCTCCAGCCACTTCTCATGGCACCAGAGGTTGAAAGCAAGGAGCAGCCAGCCAGTGACGAAATGCTTATTCCTAGAGCCATGGCCCACCACACACACTGTAGGGTAAAGAGCATGGCCCCACCCCATCTCACCTGTCCGGGAAACAGAGAGTATTCTTTGAGCTCTGATAAATCCACCGGAACTTGAGCGCCGGAGGAATGTTCCCGGTCCCCCTCCAGAATGACTGACTTGTTGTTCAGCTTCCCATTGCTATCACAGCCAATCTGGCCGAGCAGAGTGACGGACTCCTACCGAAGGAAGGTTGCAACAAAAGAACGATACGATCTTTGGGATGGAGGCTCAAAATCTGAAGTCAACAGCGTGAACAGCAAGGTAAATCCCAAATAACAAACATTACTTCGGCGAGGCATCATTTTGACCTCGAGGTGACCACAAGCATCACCAATGACTCTCAGGGGTGTTAGGACTCTTAAAGGGCTTCGAGTCTGCCCACCCAATGCCTGAGCCCCTCTAAGTGGCTGCCTTACACTTGAGCATCTCTAGTAAAGGGGAACTTGCTGTCCCGCCCCCCTCCCCAAGCAGCCTACTGCATGTCTGAATAGCTGTAACTGTTAATAATAGCTCACATTTATTAAGCTTACTAAATAGAGTTCTAAAGGCTACGTGTATGAACTCATTTAATCCTCACAACTGAGGTGGATACTACTGCTGTACCCATTTTACAGAGGAGAAAAATGAGTAACAGAGGCATTAGATATTAAATCAAGGTCAATCAGTGGGCGAAGCCTGGGTTTGAAGCCCAGAAGTTTGGCCCTAGAGCCATATCCTTCACCATACATCATACTGCCTCTTAACAGGGAGTTCTTCATTAAACTGAGCTGAAATTTCTCTTCCTGTGGCTTCCTCTGTCCGTTTCCATTCCTGGAGGCACATAAGGAAGGCCAATCTTTTCCCACAAGATTATATATCCCTGCCCCCACCCCAGTCCTTCCTCCCAGTTCCTCCCATACTTCCTCATATGACATGGTTTTGCATATCTTCCCCAAAAGGTCATTCTTCTCTGAATGCAAATATAGGACAGAGGTACCTTAAAGGTACCTCTTTTAGAACACATCTCCCCTTAGATTAAAAAACATCCTAGAGAGGAAGCACTGGTACATTAGCCGGATCAAACCACAATGTAAGATACTATTGACAGCAGTTGCTCCATAGCAACAAAGACTAAGCAGGGGGAGATGGTGAGTCACCGTTTCTAGAACTCCTATCCTTGCTGTCGTCCTCACATCCTGCAACTTGAATGAATGCTTAAGGCCTTCAGTCTTTGCTTATGTGCAAGACCCAAACCCAAGTGCACAGAAAACGACTGTCCTCGGTCATGAAAAAGAAGGAAATCTTATGACTTGTGACAATATGATTGGACCTAGAGGGTATTATGCTAAGTGAAATAAGTCAGACTGAGAAAGACAAATACCACATGATCTTCCTTACATGATGTGGAATCTAAAGAACAAAATAAATGAACAAACAAAACAGAAACAGACTCATAGATACACAGAAGAAACTGATGGTTGCCAGAGGGGAGCGGGGTTGGGGGGCCAGGTGAAAATGGTGACGGGATTAAGAAATACAAATTGGTAGTTACAAAACAGTCACAGGGGTGAAAAGTACAACATAGAGAATATAGTCAATAATATTGTAATAAGTATGTATAGTACCAGTTGGGGACTAGACTAATCAGGGGGATTATTGCATAAATTATATAAATGTCTAACCACTATGCTGTACACCTGAAACTAATACAAAATAATATTGAATGTCAACTGTAACTGAAAATAAATAAATAAATTAATTTAAAAAATGGAATCAACTAGCATCTTGATGTGGGACTTCCAGCCTCCAGAACTGTGAGAAAATGAATTTCTGTTGTTTAAGCCACCCAGTCTGTGATAGCCTGAGCAGACTAAATAAAACCACATGGTGCCGGCCAGCCGAGTGGCATGTTGGTTAGGAGTTGGCTTGGGATGCCAGCTCTGAGCAGCAGGGCCCCGGTTCGGATCTCACATGAGGACCAGTGACGCTGTGCCCTCTACAGCTAAGATGGTGAACAACAGCTCAACCTGGAGCTGGGCTGCCATAAGTCGCTGGCTAGCCGGCAGCGGGTGTGCGCTTTCGTGAGCTGCTGTGAGCAGCTGTCCAATGGTTGGCGAGTGACTGCCTCACCCAGGAAGAGCACAATGATAATACCAACATGGGCCAGTGAAGCAACGTCCTCCACAACTAGAGTGAAGAACAAAAGGACAGCAACTTGGGCCAGCTGAATGGCGCGATGGTTAAGAGCTGGCTTGGGATGCCAGAGGGCCCCGGTTTGGATCCCACATATGAGGGCCAGTGACA